AAAGAGTCTGCCTCCTTTGTTTCTATGTTCACTCTTATGCAGGCCCCCGGAGATGGGACAGCCACAAGGCAAAAAAGGGTGCAGCATGGAGGAGGAGACATTTTCCTTACCTTGGACCCAGTAGAACTTAGTTAAGCTAATACAGCCTGAGGCTGTCATTCTTATTATGCAGCTTTCAGTTCACCCAGCCTAGCACAGCGAAGGCAAAGGAGTGTTTCTGGCAACACAGGAGGATTAGCAGCGCTGGTGAGTGACTGTGTGTCACTGCCGGACCTCCCCAGCTGCCAAGCGCAGCCACGGGCTGTCGCTTACCTGCCCGCAGTGCTCAGGCTGGGTTTTGTGTCGTGGCTGGTCATACCAGCTAACAGGGCCTGTTCATGTTAAAAAAATTCTGCCTTCTGGCACACCACCTCTCAGCAAGAGGGAGACTTCAGTGAGTGATTTCAGTCATAATTGATCCAGAATCAGTGTTCACTAATAGTCTGTTACTTAGAGTTGCCTATTTTTTTTTCAGACAAGCTGGTGTGGATGCTGCTAATTTAACTGTTAACTCACAGAGTCAACAAAATGCGTGGTCTTTGGATTGCAGTCTGCTAAGAGAAGACATAATAAGAGTGGTAATCCAAAGGGATATTGAGCCTTTATTTTAAATTTGTAAATACTACAACTGTTGTCAAAACTTCATTTGAAGTTAGAATGGGAAAAAAAAACCCTGCACTCTTGGGCATGTGGTTGGGTAACATTGGTCATTTGCAATACCAATAACATATGAAAGTGTTAGAGCAGTTTCTGGTAAGTTATTTTGTGGCAGATCACATCTGGCTTTTCTAAATAGAAATTGAAAATAGTGGGTTTTGGAACTGTTACATGGAACTTTGATTATTGGTTGGGTTTTTTTACAGCTTCATTTTATTCATGTGCTCATCGGGTTAAGCAGTTATCTTAAAATGCCAATAATTGTTTGAAAGCTGGTCTGTAAATAAAACATGAACTTAGTATTTTAGAAAATGTAAACTTTGGACCTTTACCAATATATTTTTTTATAATGTTGCTTCATTTTACATTCAGTAATATTAGTTTGTAAACAAACTATACATTTTGTATCTGTGCAACATCAGAGGATGTGTATTCATTGCATTTTATTGGTTCTCTTGAGGAACATGATAAATGACCATTGTTAAAATGTTTTACTGTATATGATCATAGATATAAAGATAGTAGGTCCAAAATGGGATCTACTTTTTTTTTCTAAATATATTAGTCTTGCTATGTTTTCTTATCGAAAATTGTGTTCACTTTTTCTTAGATGATAAAATTGGGGTTAATAAGTCTGTAAAAACCAGATCTGTGGTGATAAGCGGTCAAAAGAGTAAAAGATGAGGAAAGTAAATTTTCTCTAGGTCTCATATAAAGAGTGCAAGAAGTAATGAGCATAAATTACAGCAGTAAACATTTACATTAGACATTAGGAGAAAAATTAAAGGGTTGTATAATGAATTATTAAAGCAGAATGCCTGGGGAGGCACTGCAGTCTCCACTAGTGGTGGTATTCAAGAATGGGTTAGACAAACATGCTAGGAATGGTTTAAATATAGTTCATTCTGCCTTGAAGCTGAGGGATAAACTAAATAACCTCTGAAGAAGAGCCTCATTGGTTTTTTTGGAAAGTAATAAATGAACATGAAGCTCACTGGGACAGCAGGTGCTTGAATGGAAAGACAGAGCTCAAGGCTTACGGTTAAGGAAAATTGCCCTCTGACATTTGAGCACAAGCAATCAGGCTGTGACTTTGAAATCGTTATAGAAAGGCAAGCTTGCATTAAAAGACACACAACGGAAGGTGTGATAACATCATGTTTTACATCAGAGTAAAATCTGCTATTGTTAAAGCTTACAGCTGTGAGAGTTGTACGAGGTTATGGCTAGAAGGATTGCATGATGTTTGTAGCTTTTTAAAACTGGGACAGGTTGGTATTATACACATTCTAATACAAAATTGTGCAGAGGCAGTAACAAATGTTATTATTGCTCATTCCTTGGACAGACATAAACATGAGATTTGGTCTTAACAGTCTGTCACAGGAACAAATTCAGTGAAACCAATGGAATCGCTCCCATGTCAAAGGTTTTGAAAGAGGCCTTGGCCTCTTGGTAGTTTTTAGCTGTCTAGAAGTCAGAAGACTGCTCTATGTTCCTGAGACCAACAATGAGAGTATTGATCAAGAAGGCAAAGGCTCAGTTATTTTTCTGAGGCCGAGAATTGTATTGGCAATTTCTACTACTGCTATCTGTTTTAAGGATGTGAACTTACCTTACTTTTCCTTTTTTTTTTTTCTTTTGAAGACAATAGGTAATTTTTTTCTTCCCTTCCCAATTGTTTTTATTGAAGAAAGGGAGAAGGCCTAGAATACTC